ATATATACACCTTGAATCAGGCATTTGGAAACTTTTTTTTTTTCCGGTTTTTTGAGACAGGGTCTCACTACATACTTGAGACTGACCTGGAACTCACTATGTAGCCCAGGCTGGTCTCGAACTCACAGCGATCCTCCTGCCTCAGACTCCTGAGTGTTGGGATTATAGGCATGCGCCACCACGCCCAGCTAATAAGAATGTTAATAGCACTATTTATTAAGGACTTACTAAGTGCTAGCAATTGTTGGGTGCTTCTAATAATTTTTACTGAATAATTAAAATCTAAGTAAGTGGACATTTTTTTCCTTCTTCCTTTTGTTTTGCATTTTTATTGTCATGTGTGAAATCAGAGAGAGGTGTGACAAATTGGTCCATTGTCAGGGTTGTACAGCTACATTTCATTGTTTTTCTGGCATTGTTGGGGTTTTATAGAAATTAATTTTCTCTGAATTAGATTTTTTTTTCCAGTACTGGGGATTGAACTCAGGACCTTGTACTTGGCAGGCAGGCGTGGCACCACTGAGCTAAATCCCTGGCCCCTGGATTAGAATTTTACTTTTAGGACGATTGTGGTTTTTAAATCATTAAATATCTATTTTTTAACTTATAAATATGATACATGCTCATGATTTTTAAAAGGGGCAGAAAGAGCCAGGTGTGGTGGCGCAGGCCTGTAATCTCAGGACTTGAGAGGGTGAGGAAGGAGAATTGACTACGAGGTTAATGCCAGCCTGAAGTACACAGCAAGATCCTGTCTCAAAAAAATGAAAACTAAAAACCAAAAGAAGAAAATAAAAAGGACAGAAAGTTATGTGAAAGTGAAAGGTAGATCTTTCCTGTGCTTCTTTTGCCTGCTCTCCATTTAGCTTTCATTCTTGTGTGTCCTTTCGGAAGTATACTATACTTGTATGTGCATTTTTTCTTTTAGAAATGTTTCTCACTGGATGTAGTGTGCACACTTGCAATCCCAACATTAGGGAGGGTGAGGCGGGAGGATCACTGGGAGTTTAAGGCCAACATGGCCTATGTAGTGAGTTCAGGGCCAGTTTGGACTACATAGTGAGACCCTGTCTCAAAAAAGAATCTTTCTCATGAGTGGGATGATATTATGCATGCTTTCCTTCAATTGCTCGTTTCTTTTGTTTCTTCTATCCATCCCTCTTTTCTTTTACTGCTTAAAATATATTACTCGGCAGTGTTCTGAGTGATACCATAATGAATCTACTTTATTCCTTCTCTCCCTTGTAAAAATAGCTGTACAGTATTCTATTGTGTGACTATTCCACACAGTGGAATATTTAGCTGGTTTCCTACTGATGAACATTTCAGTGGTTCCCAGAGTTTTGTTATTTCAAACAGTACTATAGCGAGCAACTTTGGATATAAATACATTTTGTGTTTGGTGCAAAACATTTGTATGCTCCTTGAGTTAAATATTTCAAATCAATGGCTAGGGTGCAATTACCTTCAAAGGGTAATTTGATAGATTTGTTTTCCTATGAATTTAACTGCTGCCCTACCCACCTACCATAGTATATATAATAGTTTAAATTTTGTTGGTTGAC